GTCCTGCCCACCCCCCTCCCTCCCTCCCTAAGAGGGCTCAATTTCCCGCCCCCCCCCTCCACTTACCTGCAGGAGCCGCTCTCCAAGCTGCCTAAGGTAATGTGCATGTACATGCACATGGCACCCCTTGCCTGACCACCCTCCTCCCGCTCCCTCCAGGCTGGAACTCTGCCAGCCTACAGAGGGCTCCTCACAAAACTGCAAAATCCCAGGGCTTCTCCGGTAAAATGATTCCAAAAACCAAAAATTGCGATTCTAATATGAGTGATTTTTATGTGTAATAATATATAAATGGTTTTGGTTTTCCCATACTGATTCAAATAAGCAGCTGATTCTATTAACTAGCAATTCTATAAAGGCAAATCCAATGCAGTGGTACATCTCTTAACTATGCGTATGAGTTCAACCAAGTGTATATTGCCTAGAATAAGGGCTGAATTATGTCATCCTAAATTGTCCTTGAGATGGCATATAAGTATCCCAAGTATTTTTTTTTTTCCTTTTGCAAATCTGCTAAGCTAGATTCTAGCAGCATGTCTAGAAGCATGAGGCTCCCTGTCAAGGAAATATGTCATTTACCTTGAAGCTGGTTGTGATAGATGCAAACTTGTTGTCAGCTGTCTCTGGGTTGCCAATGAGGTAGTCCCAACTAGTGAACATTTTCCAGCTGAAAATGAAATCATTGTCATCCCCATCACCTGTGCTTTCATTGGCATTGCGGGCCATCCTGCATGAGGATACAAATTGTAATGTGTTGGTTTGTAACAGGTTAAGCAGCCACTAGATATATGTATTCTAGTATAACAAAAGCTTTAGTCCATCTGTCTGTCTGTCCATAACATTTTATGAGCACTCTGATTGGTCGTCTTGGCAGCCAATAACAATGTTGACTGAAACAACCAATCAGAGTGCTCTGCACAGATAGACACACACAGAGGAGCATCACCATGACAATGGGCCTTAACCTTAACCCTGCCTCCCCCAGCCCTAACTTTGGAGGCAGAGAGGGACAACAGGGACAGACTGGCATAGTAGAGTGCTGAGGGTGGGGGGAGGGGAGGAGCAATGCTGGCTTTGTCCCCCCCACCCCCCTTGCTCCTTGGAGGTGGCAGCAGCATGGTGTGCTTGCAGTGCAGCACTGACCTTACCCCCCTGCTCCAGTGTCATTGCCACATCCAAGGGGTGTCCTTGCCCACTCCCCCCACCCAGCCATGCTTCTTGAAGGCAGCAGTGGCATTGGCCAGCTTCATCCCTGCCATCGTGGTGGCACTCCATCTCCTGCAGAGGGGGATGCAAGGGACGCGGACTGGCACAGCAGAGTGCCACTATGATGGAGGGGACAGAGCGAGGGGATGAGGCCAGTGCCATACCACAAGCACCATGCACCACTACCACCTCCAAGGAGCAGGGTCGGGGGGGGGGCAGGCCTCCCCTTGGAAGCAGCAGTGGCGCGGGGTGCTGGAGGCAGGGACAGCAGAGCAAGCTTCCCCCCTCCCTGCTCCTGGCAGGTGGCAGTGCAGCATGGTGGGTAGCGGCACTCCATCCCCACCCTTCCCCCCATAGGAAGGGGGATGTGGTGGGGAAGAGGGAAGGAAGGAAGGGAGAGAGAGGAGCAGGATGGTGAATGGGGGGTGGTTTCCAGTGGCAGCATCCCCCCC